CCTCCTCCGCCCCTCCCTCCCCCGCGCCCACCCCCGCCATATTTTTGCTTGTAGTACTCCCCGCGCCCGCGTCCGCTCATGGTGCACAGGCTACCTCGTTTACTTACGTCTTTTTAATATAACGAGCTTACGCCTCCAAAGAACCTGCAGGATAAATGCGTCGGAGTCATTTAACGCGTCAGTGAATCCAAAATAGAACATTCGTATTTTAATTGAATGCCTTGTATAGTGTATCATCCATGATTATTGTCCTGCTGCATGCTTACTTCTCAATACTCAATACCGGTGCCCTTCGTGAGGGAGGTATGTGTTGCAAGTTAGAAAATTTAATGCCCCCGTATGATCCGCGAAAACTTTTTACGGGCTCGAGCGAGAGTAGAAATAAACATATACATCAGGATTGATCCGACAAAAAGATTGTATCGAATCCACTCATCACACGTTCTTCTCATCGAGGAGCAGGAGGTTGCCTCCAGTTGGGGGTAGCCGGGGGGCAAGTTCTACTTAGCATCAGGCACTGAGGGCCAAATGGGTTGCTCCCAGTTACGGCGTGACTAGAACTTAAATGCCCGAGAGTCCTCCATCTGTGCGCATCGCGTGTGCACAACGACGCATTCCCATCTGCGAGAAGTCTCGAATCATCCACAGCGAGGGGGATACGCCAGACAGCAATAAGCGGATAGGAACAAGTTGAGAAAGATTCCATCCATGGCCTCGGCGGGGCACGAGGAAGGACAGTTAAATCATAATGCATACAGAATCGGTCAACCGGGCACTCTACGCACACCTCGTCAAAATGGAATGGCGCCCAATAATGTGTGGAGGAACAGAGTCTCCACACGGCCGGCCCATATGCCCGGACTGCCTTTGCCGGATGTCGTTTACCGCCACTCATGCAAAGAGGTCCGTAGACAGTGTAGAGATGGCCTAAATTTGATACTTCGTTAGCGTACAACCGCGTCCTCGTCATTCTCAGGAATCAAGTACGCAATAAAGAAATCTGTCGAGACAAGTCAACCTGCCATCAACGTTCTACGCTTCATTACAAAGTCGAAAAAATATTTTTCAAGCAAAAAAATTAAGTGCTTCGAGTTAGGCATGTGGGGAGCGATGAAATCGCTTCTCTGGCCCCTTACAATTCGGAAATATCGCTGCTTCCAATTATTTGCAGTCCGTCCTCCCCGATCTAATCCTCGCTCTTCTTCAACACTTTCATGCGTGCCACAGGCATCGACGCGCTTCTACTCCCCTGTGACGCCTCCCTGATTTCCGTGTGCTCCTTACTGCACGAGACCCACAGGTAGACAGGGCAGCAAATCCTTTCCTTTTTCCCTTCCTTCCTCCTCGCTGGCGGAGCAGTCGGACTCCCGCCGAGTCAGGCTCCGTTCTCGGGCCACGGCCAGGAGCTTATTGGCCATGATGACCTGGGCGAGGAGGGGGGGAAGAAAGAGGCGAGAGGCAGGCATGAGAGGGGGAAAGGAAGCTGGAACAGCGATGTGGGAGACAAGAGCGCACGGGATGATCCCGTGGTAATTCATATCCAGTACACTTATCCGGCGCAGATCCCGCAGGGCGTCCTTTTCCTCCTTAAAATGACTATCCTGTCCCCTTCATCCTACATCTCCACTCACTGAGTGCACACTGGCGCGAAATTTCCTTCTTGCGTTGAAGCGTTTGAGCGCGGCCTGTGTCCCAGTCAGTTTCTTGGCTCGTAGAAGCTCGTCGTCCGCCATGACCCACGGGTGCGCTAGGGCCTGGGAGGGCGTGAGCCGCTGCGCGGGGTCCACGCATCTGAGAAGGGGGAAGGGGGGAGGGAGGCTTGTCTGTGAGGAAGACAAGACGAGTGTGGCCTCGCAGACCCTATCTCCGCCGACCCCACCCCGAGCATGCGGCTCCCCTCTCCCGGGGCTCCCACTCCCTCTCCCAGGCCTCGCACTCCCCGTCCTTCCCGCCCCAACCGCCTGCCCGAGTACTCACAGGAGCCCACTGATCAGGTCTTGAGCCTCCACGGAGATGTTCTCCCTGTCATGGTTCGGGGGGGCGAGTGAGGGTGGAAAGAGAGGAAGGGAGACGGAAAACCGAGGGTAGATGAGACTGGCCGAAGCCTAGCACGAGGAGGGGGGGGGGAAGAAGGGGAAGGAGATAAGTTTTCTCTTCCCAGGTCCATGCAAATTTCTCACCAGGTATCCTCCTCAAACTGAAATTTCGCTTTTTTGATTTTGTTGAAAAGGCGCCGGTGGTCTTCGTCGTAGAAAGGAGCGTAGCTAGAGGAAAGGAGAGAGGCGAAGGAAAACAGGGAAAATGGAGAGGGAGGGTGAGGCGACAGGGGCAGAAGGCGCGCGGTGGAAGACAAGCGTGGCGTGAGAGGGCATGCGAGGAGACACGAGAACGGCGTGGGAACAAAGGCGCGGCCGAGAGGGAACGAGAAAAGGCGGGCCGACAAGAAAGAGGAGGTGGGTGGGGGCCAGGGAGACTTAGTGCCGGGACGCACCCTGCCAGGAGGATGAAGGTGATGACGCCGATCGACCACATGTCCACGGGCTTTCCGTAGGGCTCCCGCCTCAAGATTTCGGGGGCTACGTAGCTGTAGGGAGAGGGAAAGGGGAGTAGGGAGGGAGGGAAGGTAAAGGGCGAGGGGTGACAGGAGCGGAGGCCAGGGTCAGGACGTCAGCGCACAGAGGGTTAGGGAGACGGAGAGAGGCAAGGAATCAGCCCCCCTCGGTGCAATGAGGGGTGGGAGAGCACTACACGGAAGCCGAGAGGGAGAAAGGGGTGCAAGCAATGCTGGACAAGGGCCGCTCCATACCAGGGAGTGCCGCATTGGCTGCGAAGGGTGTTGCGGTTCACGCGAACAGCATAACCGAAGTCCGCGATCTGAGCGGGGGAGGGCACAAGGTAGGAGGATGAGTACGCCGAACATTCAACCTCTGCACATGGAGATTCCTGCGTTAAGCAAATTCCCCTCGCACACGACCGACCTTGATCTGCACGTCGTCCGTCTCGTCTGCATCGTATCCGAAGGAGGGAGGGAGGGAGGGAGGGTGGGAGGGAGGGAGGGTGGGAGGGAGGGAGGGCACGTGACGGGTCTCCGCAAAGATCGACATACAGAGCAAAACGTGCGCTTGCCGGCTTTTTCGATCGCGGAAGTCCTAAGCACCGCCATTACCCTCCCCCGATATGTTCGAAATTCTTCTCTACCTCCCCGGCCCCTTCCCTTTACCTGCCAAGAGGAGGTTCTCGGGCTTCAGATCCCGGTGCACCACGTCCATGGAGTGCATATACTCGATGGCCGAGACGAGAACTTTGAACAGATCCCGGGCCTCCTTTTCTGTGTAGGTGCTCTTCTGGGTGATCCGGTCGAACAGCTCGCCGCCCGCCTGAAGGAGAGCGCGAGGAAGGGAGGAAGCGCAGGTTAGGGAGGGCAGTAAGCGTGGCCCCAGTCCCGCGCCTCTCAATCTGGCGGTGCACACTTCCCGAGGCTTTCTCTCTGCCTCTCGAGCTAGCTCCCCCTCATTTCCATCGGCCCCTGTATCCTTCCCCTCTCCTTCCCTCCGTGCCCTCCCTCCCTCCCTACCATGTACTCGGTCACCAGGTAGTAGTGCCGCTCATCTTCCAGCACGTCGTGAAAGCGGATCACGTTCGGATGCTGGGGTAGTGAGGAAGCGATAGGAGGGGAGGGGGAGGGAGGGTTGAGGTGGTGACGACCGAAAATGCTCAAACGTGCTTTGCGGTTTGCGCCCCTCTCCTGCCGCGAGCCCACCCGGTTTCCCTACTTTGAGATGCCAGAGTATGGAGACCTCTTCCAGCATCCCGCTGACGTCCAAAAGCGCGAGCTTGGCTTTGGTGAAGATTTTCATGGCGTACCGCTTGCCGTCTCTCTGGAAAAGCACGGGCGGGGGGGAGAGGGGACAGACAGGATGATCGTCAGAACGACAGGGCATTGTACGGAGGGCTGGAAAAAGAGGTAGGGTAAATTACTGGGTGCTGCCTGATATGAATTGTGTTTTTTGGGGGGGATTTGTCACTCACCCTGTCCACGCATTCCCTGACGACGGCGGTGTGCCCCTCTCCGAGCTAGTGAGGACATGGAGAAGGGAGGAAGAAAGGGAGTTGCGACAAGATGAGGAGGGAGCGCAGAGCAGACAAAGCGAAGAATGCCTGCATACAGACAAAATGACGCCAAGCTCCTCTCTTAAGGCAGTGCGAGTTCAGTCATGTGACACCAATAATGGCTCCACGCTCCTTGCCCGAAAAGGCCCTCTCCCTTTACGGCCGACACGCTCGCCCTCAGACTACAGCCCGTCCCAGCTTTCCCTCCCTCATGCCTTTTTCCCCACGCAATAGTGGGTCTCAATCCTCTCCTTCCGCGGCCGCACGAGTCCCCACTGCTTCCAGGCAGTGGTGCCCCCGGCCTTCATCCCTTCCTCGTCCCCCTGCGATTGCTTTGCCTTCTTCCGAACCAGACTGACCGCCGCCCGATTTGTCACGTCCACTGGAGCATGTTGGCATGGTGTCAATGAAGGATGATGTCCGCGGGTTGGTGCGGATGGGGAGGAGGACGCCAAAGGATTGCTCGTTACAGAGCTACAGGTAGCGGTGCTGGCATCGCTTATCGTGCTGCTGTGTCCTCGTGTACGGAGGTGGTTCTTTGTACTCATAGATTGTAGCCGAGCCTGGTGAAGGATGAATAGAGACAAATCACAAGCGTGAGAACCTCGAAGAGGTTAAGACAAAAATGGGACTGGAAAATTGTCATCGAGACCAAAAAGTGAAGCTTTTCGAGACCGAGCCGTCGCGCGCCTGCTGAAGAGAAAAAAGGCGACGGACGATATTTACGCAAACTTTGGGTGGAAAGCTGATATGAGTTCGCTACGTATCACAGAGTGTCACATACGTACAGTGGGAATGCAATTGCCCATACGACAAGCACGATAGGAAGCAACCGTGACTTGAGAGGCACACTGGAGAGGAGATTGGAGCGGAACACTCTGCTTCGAGCTTCCTTCAATCGTGGATCCGGTACTGCGGCAGGTCGATCACCTGGCGCGTACGGTGGCCCAACAGGATTTTAATTCTGCGTGTGGATAAATGCGTAGAGAATGGGGTGAACTTACGGTTAAGCCGTGGAGCTTGTCACGGGGTCACGGTATCGAATCTTCTTGAGGGTTAGCTCGCAGAGTTTCCCCGAAACTTTCATCTGCTTATTCTGGGAAGACAACGAATCTCCCCACGACAATCAATCTACCATATTATCAGTCAAAAGCAAATGGTCTTGGTGAAAAGTCTCGATTCGAGTCCATCGCGTCGGGCGGTGCCGAACGCGTTAGAGGCCCTGGCTGGGCAGAAACGTATGACAACCTCAATGAGGACAAGGTCGGCCCCAAGATTCATCATCTCCGGACATTTTCCTATTTAGCATTATGGCCCCATCAGTCCCACTACTGTATAGCAAAGGGATCAAGAAGGTCTGAACAGTCGTTTATACAAGAGTTCATGCCTTGTACCGGCACCCAGAACTCGATAATACCCCCAACGCGAAGTCTTACTCTGACGGGCTTACACGTACTACGGTAGTACGCGCCATAACCGGAAAAGAAAGAAATTGTCGGGGAAATTGGGACTTTATCAGCCTTGGAGAAAAAAGAGCATGGATGCAAGTTATGCCAGCAAAACGAGAATGAGTGATGGGAAAAGAGAGAGACACGGTGTTCAAGGGAATAATAAAGGTCTGCACTTGTTTTAATTTATCCCCGCAGCCGCCGCGAGTCAAAGATCCGATCTCGAACATCGAAACTGCCCGATGATCAGGCCAAAGCCACAAAATTTGTAAAATTGCTTTTTCATGTCATACTTGTGAGCAAATCTCTTTCAAAATCACATTCGGCGGCCAACGCTCTTTTTCGATTTCTCAACGCATAGTGCTGGTGGTGCTCGTAATTGCTCGCACGCTGTCTACTTTGGCAAACGCAAAATATCCATCATGTCTTCAAATGCTTCCAAGGCTGGTGTCATGGCTTCGTGGCTCTGTTCCATGAAATCCAGTGCACCCCCTCCGTTTCCAAATGAAGCGAAATTATTGCTGTAAGCTGTAGGTGTGAAAACCACCCACAGAATGGTGGGTTTAACAAATAATTCGATGGGTGAGATAGGAACAAGACTTACACGGGTTATCACAACATGTCAACCTTCTTGCCTCTCGCGTTTCATTTTTGCACAAGCTCGCATCTGTTCTTCCTTCACTTTCTACTTTTGCCAACTTCCCGAACTCTACTTTTCGTTAATGAAGCAAACCGTTATGCATGTCACCTTGAAAATCTATGATGTCCACCCTTCCTCCTTTCACCTGCACCGTCATAACCCATTCGCTTCTATTTATGATCTTCTCCATGCATTCCCATTCTCATACATCCAATAAAGCTCGATACACTCATTTCGTCCTCCCACCGTCATTGCCACCTTCCGTCCTTTCTTACCGAGGAAGTCCGCGTTCTTGATGCCGTCCAAGACGCGCTGGGAGGCATCCACGAAATCCAGCACGTCTCCGACCTGACAAGAGGGGAAGAGGAGGGCGAGAGAAAGACAGACGGAGTCAATTCCTTAAGTGGATAGTGGCCGCACCAACGGGCAGCAGGGCTCGGCAAAGCGTCGACAGGATGCGACAACAGGACGGCCTAGAAGGGACCTGTCAACACGGAAGGGCTCGGACGCCTTTTACGAAGCCCCCCCCCCCCATGATAAAGCTAAACTGGGTATTGAGCCTTTTGCAAGCCGCCCATCCTCTCTGGACCCCTCTTTTCCTTTTCCTCGCCTCCACCCCCCCGCTTACATCCTCCCCCAAATCCCCCTCGAGGAGGGCGTTTTGCACCGCCTTGATTGCCTTGTCGATGCGGAATAGGGGACTCTTTGTACCCACGATGCCTGCGGGAGCGAGGACAAAGGGAGGATGCGAGAAGGGGAAAAGAGGGTTGAAGAGAGGTCGAGGCACAAGCAGACGATGACCTCGTGAAAGTCACGCAAGATTAGAGCGGCTACCCACACGTAGGAGTAGACTGGCCAGATGTGGGGGCCAAAACACGAAGGACTCGAATTTTGAGCTTTGTCTCGCGGAGCGTCACTGAAGGGATGCCTCGACGTGCGAGTGATCACAGTCCCGAGACCTTCCTCTCCCTCGCCAACCCGTGGCATCCCTGAAGGCATCCGAGGCATTAAATTTCACTTTCCGCACTCCCCTCTTGCCTCCTCCCTCCCTTCCTCCTACTCACTCACCGAGCCGTCGGCGCACCTCGTCTCCTCCCTTGGCCTTGGTGGATGCCCACTCCTCCTGAAAAGGAGTAGCAGGGACGAGGACGAGGATTGAGAGGGGTATGATGGGCAAAAGGGAGGAATGCGATATGGGTTGACATCTTGAGCAAGATAATAGTAAACTAATGATGGCACAAGAGATTTGGGCACGGATATGGGTGATGAACGGAGGCGGCTCTCGAAATTGTCCAGAGCCCAGTCTTCAAAGTTCGACATGTCATTCGTGCGGACAGAAGAGGAAGCTTCTCGGTTTCTTGCTTCTCATGTTTGATCACATACACACCTTGTACATGGTTTTTAACTCCTTGTAGCCCGACTCTATCTGAGGTATCAGGGAAAGGAAAGAGGAACAGCAAACGCGCAAGATAAAATATGGTGAGGACATTATGAGAGGAAGGAAAAATGAGATTAGGCATTGCCAAGGATCCATGGGAACCACCCCTGATCAAGAAGTCGAGTGAAACGTTGCAGAAAGAATTCTCTCACAAAGTCTAAACTATCCTCTCCTTGAAACTTGCTGCTTTTGCATCTTGGAAGCCCATCTGCAACCGTATTGCTCTTCAGTAATTCTAGCTAGCTATGCTTTTACTCCCTCCCAAAACTTTCTGCTCCCTCATACCTGAGAAACATAAGCGGCTATCGCTGTCTTATTCGTGGCCGCGATGGTTGGGGATGGAAAAGAGAGCACTTGAAGAGCCGCCGCGCTGACGAGCCCTTTTGAGAAGTACCCGGTAAGTATACGGCGACGCGTGGCTCCAAAATTTGTTTCTCTTTGACTGGCTTCCAGTTTTGTTGAAAGGCGTCCGCATTTGGAACTGACCTCCGCAAAAGACGCTACGGACGGCGAGGTTATAGTGTGGGAGGGAAGGAAGGCGGAGGCAGCCAATGTTGTGAGGTAAACATAGATTACAACAGTCAGCAAACACCTTATATTTGGCATTTCTCCAGCAGAGCTATTTCGTTGGAGGAAACCCTAGCTTATTGCACAAAAGTCGCGGGAGAGTGAAGCTGGGTGCTGGAGAGATCGCTCGTTCTGCCTGAACTGTGACGAAGCAAGGATGAGAACAAGATTTAGTGCCATGGAAAAGCAAGATCTCGACGCCATACGTAACATTGATTTTCTAATTGGAGTGAGCACTTTCTGCTTTCGAGAAGGGTGACTTTTCATGCGGTAGTACAGAAAAACTTTAGGAGGCTGACGTACGCGTGGGCCTCTCTTTAGCAGCCTAATAAGGCTCGAAGGCGATAGCGATTTAACTAAAACACGAAGGCCGCGCCGGGGGCGATAACTATTGGCGGGTGGAAAGGGCGATTTGACCGCGAGGGGCAGCAGTTCCAGATTCGTGCAGGAGTTGAAGGCAGTGTTACGGAGTTTGGTCCCGTGCACAGGGAAGTGTGTATCTTTCATGTATCAGCCTTCTTTGTTTCCAAGTTTTTACGTGATCGTAATACAGCCCTTACATGTATCCCTGGTGTGTTTCATACGGATATCTTGGCTCATTTTAAATATGCATATGTTCCACCTCACAGCCAGTCCGAGTGACAGACATTGAACCCTCTTCTCAAGTTCACACCATGCAGCGAGGAAGCATTTTCATGCGGATTATCTTGTCCACCCTCATCGTCCTTGCCTCTGTCTCCGCTACCGAGGTGAGACGCATTAGATGAAGAGATGCTTTACTTTCTTTAAATACTTGCGGGGAAAATGGGGAAGGAATACTGGTTTGAGTAAATTATTGGTCATCCCCCCCAACGCGAGAAGAGCCTCCGCAAGTATGCATATCATTCAAGAAGTCCCATTTCTTCGGATTTCGTTTTCCACAACGTCATGGCGCACCCTCGCGATCTACATACCACTGCGTAGCACGCAAGCACGGTAGCAGTCGTGGAGTCGACCTTCACACCTGTTGAAAAGGCCGACGTCACTTTCCTTCGGGTGAGCATCTCTCATTTAAACAACTCACGCTATTTGAAGCGCGTATAGGGTTTTTTCCCTGTATATGCACAAAATTTAGCGCTGAACGTCTTATTGAACCCTCCGCTTCCCTCCTCCGCCTCTTATCATGCACAGGGCACGGAGGCTGATAAAGTGATGTGTGACGGCGTGGAGTGTCCCAAAGGAGAAATGTGCATGCGCAGCAGCTCGGGCAGTCGCTACTGCATGAAAATGTAGAGCTTTAACATCAGCTGTTAAATCAACAACGATCCATGCAAGGCGTCACTACCAAAGAAGAATGCCTGGCAGGACGAAATGGGAAATGGCCTCGTTCCTCCAGGATTTGTGTTTCCAGAGGCCCGGTAGGATTTTATTTAAAGATGAATGGAGACATTGTACGTGCAAGAGTGAGTTGCGTGATGTCGGGTAAAGGCGAGGAGCTGCCGAGTGTTTTTCTCTATTGCCCAGTCCACATCTGTGTCTGTGGTATATTTTTGTCGCGCGTTATCATTCCTCTTAGTTCTAAGAGATCGACTTACTGTAGGCAGTCGAAGGACAAAGCTAATATTGATGTTTAAAGCCAGGGTCTTGGCACGCTCGACGTTAATTACTTGCTTCCGAAGCGTGCACGAAGCACGCGAACTCATGACGTTTAATAAAAATGAGAGGGATGCTACACATGTGTGGGTTCGGGACCAGGGTCAAAGCCCTTTTACTTCTCCCTCCCCTCCTTGTCCCTTGACATTTTCACTCCGTACCTGCTTTTTTAATCTTTTTACTTCTCCCTCGCGTGTTACAGCCCTCTCTCCTTCTCCTCCTTTCGCTCCATGCTAGTGCCGACCTTTTCCGCTGCTCGGCTTCCGACCTTACCCTGGTGTCTCCCTCTTTTCTTGTCGATCCTCATCCTCGTATCGGCCTCCTTCCACGCATTTTCACCTCCGTTGTAAGGGCTGGTTCCGTGTGTTCAGATACCATAGATTTGGCCTCGACCCCGAGGTACGTGAGGGTCGGGGGGGGAAGAAGGATGGAGGAAGGGAGGAAAGCAGGGGAAGAGCGAGATTGGGAGGTGGTGGAATCCTAGTCAGGCTCCACAAGACCTGAAAAGTGAAAGATTGAGGGCAACTGATTATTTTTTAATTCCTTTTCCTTCCACTCCGATCCGTCCGCGGTACCTCTGCAGCCCTTTACTTTCTTCTCTTCTTCCCCCTCGCTCCCCTCCTCCCTTCATTCTCCATCCCTATCGGGTCGACATCTTCGACCTTGTCGCCTAAGTGTCGGCGCTATCCTCAACCCCAGTGATTCACTCAACGCTGATGATGAAGAGAGCGGGACGGGAGGGAGGGAGCGAGGGGAGAAGACGAGATATTGACGGGTCCGAGGCCTCCTCGGTCTCCAGTGCCTTCCCAAAGAATTCCTTTTCCTCCCTCACTCGCGAAAGCCCCATATTCCCGACTCCCATACTCCTTCTTTCGTCGCAAGTGGCCAACCGTTTGCTACGTGATCAGGATAATTACGATTCCCGTTTCAAGGCCAGGGGACAGGAGGGAGAGAAAGTGAGAGAACAGAGAACTAAGAGAAGGGTAGTGTTGTCGACGGGAGAGATAAGAGAGATGAAGAAGGTACGGGGAAGTTTGCACGTTGTAAGAGAGCTCAGGGGGGATAGCATTTCATAGAATAGACAGGTATGGATAATACGGATATGAGTGCAATGTGAATCTGAGTGTGAGCGAGTGAGAATCTAGTATGAATGCATGTGTGTTTTAGGGTTAGGGCGAAAGGTACACCGAGCATAGAAAGGGAAAAAAACACGAACAGGAGTGGTTAGGCACCAGCATGCACAAGAGCACTGCGAAGTGATGTCCTCCATCCACCATCCTCCCTGCCTCCTGCATCTTCCCTCCATTCCATCCCCCTTACTTTCATTATCCCTCTCTCCCTCCCTCCTTCCAACATTCCTCCCCGTGGATCTCACAACACCTCACCACCCCCTTCTACCGTCTTTTTCTTGTCCTTTGAGGATAGTATGAGTTGGAATATAAGTGTGCATCGTGGTAGAAGGGCGACGGTAACATAACCGTGAGTGTATTGTGAATGCAGAGGGTGAATATGTTAGGGTCAGGGTCAATAGTACATCGAGAATATGAACGGAGCAGAAAACACGAATTGAAGCACTTAAGATTCATTATACTCGAAAGTAACGCGACGTATTAGGTCGTCCTCGAGCAAAAGGTATGGTAGGACACGTCCTTCTTATCATTTTTCTTTTTCCGCCTTATTTTTGTTTTTCTCCTCTTACCCCGTCCTCCTTGTCACTTCCCTTCGTTCTTTTTGCGCGTATCTTTTTACTTGGAGAAGCCTTTCCTCCACGAAATTCCAGAGAGTGATATAAGAACAAGACTTTCAATGCATGAGCATTTCAGGTGCGGCTTACGAGTTGCCTACCTCCCCTCCCACTTCCTCCCCCCTTTGTCCGCCCTCTCTCTTTTACTCAGTCCTTCTTCTTCTTCTTTATCTTATACTCAATGAGCCATAATTCCCTTTTCATCACGATCTAGATTACGTATTGCTAAAAGGACTAGATGCCGAAGTAGAGGGCTACCATACTTTGCTGCGGCTGTTCCAGTTTAACAACCTCAAAGGTCAGTATGACGGCAGTTGCAGTCCGATTTAGTTTTATTTGACTCTCAATATGTAGAACATGTACGGAAAGAGTTCTTCTTCACAATCACCAATTTTACCTGAAAGCCTATGCAATACTATGATTCGCTTGACACTCACAGGCATCATGTCAAGCAAAGCGCTTGAAGGCCTGACTACGGTCTATTATGATATTTGGTGCACTGGAAATGTCTTAGTAGACCAAATAAGCATTATGAGTGCATGGTCTTTATTCAGTGAGGGCAATTTTATCGGGATATGATGGCACAAGCCGATGATATCTTTGCGCCCTTTGTCAGGAATACTGAACACCCCACACGAGGTCATCTTATACTTACCTTCATTCTATTTATATCTGCTCCTTCCATTTCAATAGTATACGCATAGCGCAGACAGGCAGGCACTCAACCCCGGCCGTTTCAGTTAGTCGCCCAACACACTCACGGTCACGTAATTGTCCGCCTTGCTGATGACGTTTGAAAAGGATGCCGGGACCGTTAACGAATAGGACGGCGATTGCCGTTTTTCGCCTGTTCAGTGGAGTAAAAGCTGCATCCGTACGTGAATGGTACTGTGGTGCATTTAATCATTCTGATTCTGATTCTGATGATATTCGTTTGGATCTACAAAGTGTAATGAGCTGCACTTGATCTCCCTGTGCTCGAGCTGTCATCTGATGAAAAGTTCGTGGGGAAGCGGACACTATACGCAATGCCGTTGCTTCATGGAACGACCATGCGCACGACCTCTCCTCCGAGGATCGGAGATTGTTAAGTACTCATGTTAATGGGCCTCCGACTCGGACGCCCATCAAGCAATGCCTCAAATCGAATTGTAATACATGGTCCTTGACATTGATGTGCTTGAGGAGCTCTTAACGAAAGGGACGCGACGAAGAGCACATTATCTGCACTGATGTTCCTTATAAAACGAACATGTGCCACGTGCCTCTTCTCTAAAGACCGGAAATTATGTTTATGGGCTTCCGCGACGCCACAAAGCCCATTGCTTTCCATATTCTTTTCAAAAGGATGCTCAGGAGCACATTGGCAAGGGCGCCTCGTTTTCATGACTTACCACTGACGATATCCTGACTTGAATCCCGTGGATAACAACAAAATCGAGCAAAAGAGACATACTTGTCATGTTTAAGCTACACATTAGACCTACCTTAACTCGCTCTTCTCCGAGGATCGGAGCTTTTTCAAGATCGATTATTATGATCTTCAGCACTGGACGCTCATGAAGTCAGTAAGTCGGAGGTCCTGTCATGCACTCGGCTTGCTCTTCCACTTCATACTCTCTGTTGAGGAACGAACATGAGATCCAAAGTAATGGCCCCTCGTTGTCCTGGCGTGACATTCTGACCTGCATCCGTGCATGTCAACGGAATCGAGGAAGACAGAAACACATGTGGTTGTAAAGCCAAACACAGAAGTAATGCTGTACATCGCTTCTCCTGAGAGTCGGAAATTATCCAATTGAAATAATTCTGGGCTCTTGATGCATGAATCTTATTCTTGCTTTTCACATTGCCTGTCGAGGTGTGCCCTGCGGTCGTTAATAATGGCCCGTAGTCTCTTGGCAACGATGCACTGCTAAATTCTCCCTGACCGGAGTAGCATGCACTTAAATGCAATCGAGCGTCATAGGCTTTCTTGTGATATCTCTGTCCTACGTGGGAACTACCAAGACCAATGTGACAATGCTTATAGCTGTATAACTCATTATCTGTGTAATCTTTCGAATCATATTGCCCATTTATAGGTCAAGCCGTCGCATACTTCAAAATCAATCTACACGTGCCAATACAACCGCGGTTTCACCAATTAAATTATGGCTCATCTCTTTGATATCCTCCTTGTCGCCCTTCTGGGCTTAGCAAGCATTCTCACCACCGTCTCTCAAGATTGTCCAGACCTCTTCCTCAAGGCCAAGGCTAGGCCGAACGCTAAACACAGCATCCTTGCAGGCAAGGGCCAGGCCAGGCTAACCATTACCTTGACCAGCAAAGACCCCGTCGACAACTTGGAGTTCCAAGTTAATCTCCCAAACGGCTTATCCGTGGAGCGAGTAGCGATGCGCCCATCCCCGAAACCCTTTACCTCTCCAGAAATCGTTAGAAATGCGGATGGAACGACTGTGATCTACTGGCTCAACATTGCATTCGCCAAAAGTAAGGGCGGGAAACGCCGCTTCCGCGTCAAGGTGAAGGCTGATGACTGCGCCCCTGAGTCATTACGGTTGAATGCTTTTGCCTATACAGTAAATGGCACAGGAGCCTCATGCATCACACCACTGGCCAAGTCCGCAACAGTAAACGTACGTTACTCGAACTCTAAAAAAATTGCAACTTGCGCGCCGACGCCAACTCCCACAAGCAATCCCGCGCAGCCATTCATGCTGTTTGGTGCGGGACAGCGATTCTCTCAAGGAGGGCGATTAGCCCCCTTCCAAGACCGTCGTCTCTCGGTGCCTTCTCTTATCGCCATGCATCAGGACAAGGCAGCTTCAAGCCATCCTCAAGACCGACAACTCCAATCCATCGATACCCCCGATGCTTGTTATGGATATTGCTCTCTCAATGCGGGACAAGCGACGCCTTTCTTCTTCAGCTGGAATACCGTGACCCGCCAGTGCTTTTGCTGCGTCGCAG